AGCACCAGACCCCTGTCAGTGGTGGTTCAGCTTCAGCGAGCACAGCCGTGACCGTGACCGGCACACATACGGGGGGGGGGGGGGGGGGGGGTGGGCTCCCCGAGATAGCGCCGCTTGACCTTACAATCGTTCAGCGGGGGGAATTTAATGGTCCCCCACGAGACGCCCCAGAAAATGATAACGGGGGAGGCCGGCGGGTGGACACTTCATTAAAGCTACGGCGCTTCGTTTTGTTAGGCATTAATAGAAACAGAGCCCTCGTTAGGTGCCATGTAAAAAGATCTACCACAGGGCAAGAGATTTCAGTCAGGTGGTCTACAGGGGGGAGCAGACGAGAGGGGAGGCAGGTATGGACATGAGGGAGTGGGGGTGGGGGCATTCAGACCCCAACAGGAGGCCTCAGAAGAAGCCCTCAGCAAGTTGCCTAAATTACCTCACTGGCAAGCAAGATGAGAGCTAATGCTCTAAGGAACTTGTTAAAGTCTCCCTTTTAAAGCAAGCGGCTGCTGAAATACGACTGCTGGGCCTTGGTCAAAAGTTCATCATGTGCATATGTAAAAAGGTAGCCGGGCGCCTCGGGCAGGGACCGGGGGAGAATAACTGCGACAAAATGCTGAAGACACTCTGCTGTGGCTGAGGAAGCTCCCCCCAAAGGGCTCCCGGGGGGCGGCGGCCTGATCGGAACAGCCCCGGCCCCATAAGGCCTCTTTCCCAGCATGCCCTTCTCCCCCCTTCCGTCCCTATTACACCACCATAAGGCTTCGGCTCGGCCAGCAAATGTCAGACTCAAGCTGCTAATGTCGCTGCTAAATGCGCAGACAGGCAGCTCAGGCCTGAAAGGGGGTCAGCAAACGACTTGTTCTTCTGTCTGCCCCCCCCCCCCAGCCCCACTTTTTAGAAAAACACACAGTAGACAGAACCAGGAAAACAAGCAATGTCCTCCCACTGAATACACATCCTCCACTGACTACTAGAGAAAGATCACATTATTAAAATTTATACTGGTGTGACATATACCCACCCCCCGGCGAACATAGTATACAGAGTATATAAACTATCAGAGTGCATAATGTACAGGCGGGTCTTTACAGCCACAGTATGGATTTTGAGGAAGGGAAGTAGACATGACGCTGCGTGAAATGTGATCCTTCAGCCTCTTCTGGAAATCTGACCGTCAGGTGGTTCAGTCCACACACAGGAGGCGGCGAGAGCATCACCAGACAAACAGGTGTGCGGGTCAGGCTGGGGGCCCCGTCAGCCCAAAGGCCAGCTCACCCACAGATAGCTAATCAGGATGTACGACAGGGAGTGAGAGCTTTCCGGGGGGACAGCCCAGAGGAGCATGCTGCCTAAAGAGGTTAATAAGAAAAGGGTGTCAGTTTGGTAAAGAAAAAAAAAAAAACAGGAACTGGAACATATTTAAATGAGAAAAACACGGAGATGAAAGAAAGACCCAGTCTTAAAAGAAAGCAAAGCATCCACAGCATCACCTCAGAAAAATGATGAAAACGTGTATGGTTACCATAAATCATCTCAATGTGTGGAATAAAGGCAAATTCATTTAATGGAAGCAGTTGCCTCCACTGGCTTAATATTGTGTTCTGGCATCTCCCTGTCAAAGTTATGCTTGTGTTTGCAGCCTAGTGGAACCTCTGTGGATCCCAGCAGTGTGTACAAGCAATTAGAATGATAGCATCTTTACACCCCAGCAACCAATAAATGAAACAATATCTCCCTTTTATTAAGCCCCTTCACAACTGGTGCGGTAGCCAGGCAAGAATGAATAAAGGAGACATATCTTTAATGCTACGTTGTCTCACAAATTTAACTGAGAATAAGTGTTTAAGTTTAAGGGCTCTGTGAGGAATCTCAACATTTAACTCAGTCAGTAGACACAGCCATAAGAAGAAGACTTTAAAATTTGTCCTGAGAATGCATCAGTAATATTCACTTCCATGCTACTGGATGGAAATATGAAGCGAATAGGAGAGTTGTGCCCAGCAGCCAGTCCACCCGTCGTAATGAGGATATTTACAGTCTTACAGATCAATGGGTTGCACGGATCCACAAAGGGTGGGAGAGCAGGAGCTTCCAGCCAAGCTGACTGGGCGAGCCGCTATGAAACCAGCGCAAGAGAGGTGCTTTTGTCTGCAGGGGCTCTGACCCCCAGCTCCTGCGGTATCTGGAGGAGGTTTTGAGAAGCTGCGGCTTTTGGCAAGGCACGCGGTACACCCTGACCTCCCCAGTGAGACGCAGATGGCTCGACCACCACAAGCGGATGAAAGCCGGAGTGAGATCCCCCCCCCGCCCCCGCCCCCGCCGTCCCCACCACCACATCCGAGATCAGAAAGTACAGAACCACCTGATATTTACCACCACTTCAAACACTTGGCGACCACAGCAACGCTGCAGCTAAACTGGTCCAGTGGACCTCGCACATTGCTCAGGTCTGAAGCGGCGGGGCCAAGTAAAGGTTAGTCCTCTGAGACCTGAGACCCTCCCCTCGCTCACTCAGGGCCGGGCTGCGAGGAGCGCAGCTGGTTACTCTATCCAGTTGGCTATGAGGCCATGAAACTCAACCCACAGTCAGACCGGCAAGCTGAAAGAGGGACTATGTACACTGCCTGCACCTCTGAACCAGCTCTCAGGAAATTGCTATGTGACAGGAGTTCCTTGGGGCTCAGACCTGTTTGCTGTGTAAATACCTATCAGCCATTTTAGTCCTTCAGGAGGTCTTCCTTAGCAGGCAACATGACCTAAAACAATATTTTGAAATTCACTTAAATCCTGCTTCAGGCATTAGAAATCTCTAGAGGTCTGGTGTGTGAATACCACAGGTCTGGGGATCGAAGGGATTCGAGGGGATCGATGGGGGCGCCGACAGCACAGGGACCCCGTAAGATATTCTTAAGGGCCGCGCCATGGGTAACCAAACCAGTGTGTCCAAGCCCATCACAGGCCTTGTGTGGCCTCTTGTAGCTGGACTCTGCCACACAGTACCAAGCGATAGAGCTGGGGGGTGTGGGGGGGGCTAGGGGCTCCTCTCAGGTTCCCGCGACACTATTTACTTTGGACTGAGCCAAAGGTTTTTATGGCAACGTTCTCCAAAAGAGCCAAACCCCACAGCTTCCCATTACTTGAATGGGACCTGAGTGCTTGCCCTGTTCCCACCCCCCACCCCCCACCCCCTTCCTTTATGCAGCCGTTTGCGGTGGTTTTCCTTGGTACCTCAAAAGAGGTGGTGCAGCTGAAAAAACAGGGCGGCTCGGTGCTGAGTGCAGCTGGGCCTAGGGGCCGCGAACCACCCGCCCTTCCGGGCCCTTTACCTCAGAGGCAGGAAAGGTAACCGCGATAGAGCAGAGATGAGGAGTTCGTCACACAAACAGGGGGAAGCCCTGGAAAAATGAATCTATTCCTTCTACATGCCCATATACCCACACACACAAAGAACAAACATGATGAGCTGCGCCAATGGGAGGCTAATGGCAAAAAACAAAAGGAGAAGAGGCGTGCCGACCCCCCCATACCACAATATAACAGCCTTTTCTGCACACTAACAAGCAAAAACAATAAAGAAAGCCGTACTGGGAGACTTTCATAAATTAAGATGATTCAGCTGCGGCCATCTGTTTGCTTAGTGCCAACACTTTCATCAAAGACAATAAGCAAAAAGAGAGAAGTAGCAGAAAGGGCTCTATTAGGCGGAACTCCTTTGAACTATCTTTTTAAATAAAAAGATTGTGTGGAACCAAGGTGATACTTCATCTTATACAGCTTAAGACTTAAACACAAAGCAGTTTGACAAACGAGTGCTTATAATCTATTTTTTGACCATTGTTATTTTCAGGTAATTCATTTTATTTTAAAAAATGCCTTCATTGTAAACACAAAGCAAATACTTTTGAAAGTTTTATACATAAAGGCTGGGTCCAGAGTACTTGCTGCTATTTTTATACCAAACTTTCGTAAATTTCATTTTCATTTTTAGTAAATGGCTTTTATTTCTACCATGGCGGTTGTCTACGAATGGCAGGTGAAATTAAATTGATACATTACAGACGTTAAAGTATCAAACAAGCACCTGCTGCTCTCAGATGGACCACCATTCACCACAAACACCTCAATATCAGCACCCCAGCCTGGCACAGTCCCTGCTTGGGCCTGTCCTGCTTCACATGGCACAGCACAGCATGGCACGGCACAGCACAGCACAGTGCGTCCTCTGTCTCTCAGGAGAGGGATATCCAGTGGCCTGCAGAGGCGTAGGGTGAGGCAGTGTACGTCCTGCCTGCTGGGACGCTTGTGCGCTGGAAACGGGAGCCAGCTCAGCGGCAGGGCCCGGGAAGGAGGGAGTGAAAAACTCGGAACCCAATACTCTCATGGCTTATGCTTGCTCTGGCCCATGGAGAAGCCGTTTACAAAACAAAATTAACTGAGGGAAAAGGACTCTGGGACTGGAGAAGAAAGAATCAGCAGGGATCCCAAAATCTTCCAGGGATCCCAAAGTTTTTCTTGTTACAAGCAATCAGCACTCAACAAAAGCTGTTCTTCTTATGTTCAGAGGAACGCCAAGAACAATAGAGAGGCTGAAAGAGCAATTGTACAGCAAACCACATACAAACACCCACTGCAGGTCACCAATGGGCCACTCAAACGCAACATCTACTCCAACACCCAGCAGTCAGGTCCAGGCTTCACAATCTCAGGAGACAGCAAGTTCACCACAGCCTTCATCACAAGAATAAACAGAGATATTGTATAATTAATAAAACGCAGAGAATCTCCCTCATGTCAGTGCAAATGGGAATCAAATGCTAATACCTTTTAAGCAACCAGTATACTCCCACAAAACATTGCAACAGACCATCAGCAAGCCTCAGAGGAACACCTTGGGATTGTGTGAAAGCTTAGAACCACAAAGACACAACTGACATGCAACAGGAATGACCAGCTGGCCAAAAGAGAGCAAAAAGGATAAGTAAAGGACTTCCTGGTCTTACCATGGACTTGGTGAAGGGGCGTGCCAAGTTGAAAAGCAATGTCATCAGCCACCAGCTCTGGTGAATGGAGGTGTACATCATGTTCCCGGGATGAACTGCATTGCAAGTGATGCCATACGGTGAAAGTCGTCGATGGAGCTCATTGGAGAACAGGATGTTGCAGAGCTTGGCACGGTTGTACGCCAACATGGACCAGTACTCCTTCTTAGGAGGGGAAAGGAGCAGGAGGTCCACCTTCCCACATGAATCCACCAGGTCCGTAAACCTGCCAACACATTGAGCATAATTTCTGTTCTAGCAGACAAAGTAAGAGGGTTAACAACACAGAAAGGTCTTTATCCATTAACATTCCAAAGGTGGATCTAAATGGGGAAAAAAAATAAGTTTGCTATTACCACAGATTCTAACCTTATAAATGGACCTGAAGCCACAGGCCATTTGACAGAAGAAGGGAGATACATCTCTCTTTGAATGCAAGAGCGTCAAAAAGCTTACGAACCACTACATTACAGGCAGATTTCAAGAGATGTTCTCCTGGGATTGATTAGCAACAGGACCAACCTACAGCAGAGACAGTAACACTAAAGCAGTAGGTCAGCACCATACAGTAAACAGGGATACAATGAGCTCTGGCACAGTGGGATGCTCAAACTGTAGACTAATGTCATGGCTGAATACAAATCAAAGAGGCGAAAAGATGTCCCCCTAATTGTCTCTGACAGAGCTGTTAAGTGCCAGATGTTTGACAGAGTAAGTAGGTGGAGCACAATGAATTCAGTTACACACAGTGTCAGAGAAGCCTCACAAAAAGGGACCCTCCTTCTCTCAAAGCCTGTTTGGGTTTCATCAAGTAATGCGACACGCTGCCTATTCACATCACAATCTGTCTATTATAACACAATAAATCAACGCTTTTGAACAAGCATGCCTGGACAGTTTCAAAAAACCTCCTGGCTATGCCTGTTCTCCCCAGGACAGTCAGCAAGCACATCTGAAACCTTTCTTTAGTGGAGCACCATAAAACAAGGCAGATGCTATTTGCACCCAAGTATCGGTAGGCAGAAATGCAATAAATAGATAATATTAATCATTTATTGTTTTTTATCTCTTTGTGGGACATCAGGACAGGTTTATAAATGTAAAAGGAATTTCATCACTGTGTGACGTGCTCAGGTGTAGATGTAATTCACCAGGCTTTTGTGTAGTATGATGTTC